GTGCATCTCATTACCTTAACACAATTTGACACGTGAAGCGCAGTAGGTAGCATGTAATAGGACACCAGGTGAGAGAGGCAGATGTTTGACTGACCCCATGCTTTACGCTTCCTGACACCACCGTGATCTTCTGCTGCTAAACAAATGGGGCAACAGAGCAGAGCGAAACATGCGCTTTATATTAATGTGCTTGGTTTAAAGGGAATACCACCGCTTGATTTCACTTGCTATTTGAATATTCTACAGCAGTCCAATCAATATTTATGCAAGTGAACAACTCTCTGCTGAAGTCGGTGGCCCTATAATGGTACCTAAGTATGCAATTTAATCTGAAGCTGACAGAAATGAATCAGGAACAACGGTAAAGGGAAGTGTGGGAGCAGCCGGGTGACTTGTGGAGATCAGGGGTATGCTATGGTATTAAAGGATGAAGCTCATTTATCTGCAAGCAGCAGTGTGTTGGCCCATAGTCAATCCACCATTTATTGTTCTGAGGAGCAGTTCCAGTTCCCATATCCTGATGACAATACAGCTTGAAGTTTCTGCTTTAAAAAGCCCTTTATATTTACAAATGTGTACCTGCATTGTATTCAAATGTGGGGATTTTTAAGCCGCACCAAGCATGATGTTTATACAATCACAAGCACCTAGTGGGGCTGCAGAGAAAGAGAGAAAAGCACTTCAACCCCACCAACTGAGACGCCAGAGATGTGCTCTATTTATCTTTATCTTTGATCTATCAAATTTAATTCTCGTGTCAGGTGTACACTACTCCACCCACAGGGACTGACAAATTGAAAGTTCTCGTAGCAGCAGTAGGACAGCAATCCCTGGGGGCAAAACCAGACTCAACACAGTTAGATTGTTTCCTTTTCTCACTGGAAAGCAGGAGAGGCTGTATAGTTTGCTAATGTCACTTTACAAGATTTTTTGTAGTTACCACTCTAACATTCAGTGCTGCCACTGTGTGACATTGCCGAGGGCTGCTTTAAAATAGAAAATACTCCCCTTACATACATCCCCTGCTACGACTGACACTGTAATTTAGGTCTGGTCTGCAACATGCCTTGTACAGTACACATGATGGAGGTGGATTCTGCAGTCTAGGGTGCAGAGATATTACAATGAGTACAGTAATGCATGCAGAGAGGACTGTAAAGCCACAGTGACTCACTTCAAATTTCACTCAGCTAGCCCTCCAGGATGCCCTCCTTCTTTAATGCAAACACAGAGAAAATGGTGAGCATCAGAAGATTATTATGACCCCATAAGTACTGTAAAGTAAAGCGGGACTGCGTGAACTGCAGCTTTAATATTCAAGCACGGCCGTCTGTGATCATGGCATCAGGCAGAAAATAGAACAGGACACAAGACTGAAGGAACATAATTCAAATCATTTACACCACTCTGCCAATGATGGAGCAGTTTCAAGCCCAGAGCTTTCCGCAGAGAAAATAACAATGCAGAAATACACTGAGCAGTACACTACACTCAACCACAAGGGAGGTCAAAGCTGACGGCTAGAAAGAATTCATATTCAGGGAGCTATGAAATATGAGCTTTGTGTGCTGCCAAATTGATTTAGCTGTAAAAATTCTTTTCATTTTGTTCCATAAAGATGCTCATACTTTTACAGCTCTGCCGCCTATAGAAGCAGGCCTCGATGATTTGCTTAGAATTTACAACCAAGGTCATAATCAAAGCGGGTCTCCCTTTGCATGCTTAATGCCGCCTTGAAGAACTGGAATGGAAATCATCCTTTTCACTTCAAAAAGTCGGTAATTCTCTGCTACTCTGATTAGTTTAATGCTTGGATGGATAGGCCCTGCTCCCTGAGTAAAAAGAGAATACCACCCAAAGATTTTTAAATTCATCATTCTGGCGCCCCATGAAAACATTTTGTCTCCCACACAGGTGCCGATTTGTTCAAAGTAAAAAAAGAAACCACAACAGCATCTGGAATAATTTACTGAGATAAAATCAGTCTGGTTTGTTTATGGCATTTGGACAGGAAACATCAGACACATTGCACAATGCTAAGAGTGGACTGACTGACTGTGTAAGTCCGTCATCAATGGAGCTCTGTACTGAATGTAAAGCCACAGTGAGTCACTTCAAAATTTAGTGACAGCCTGTGGAAGTAGCTCATAAAATGTGTACTGTCATTCACATTGACAGCTTGTACTGCAGAGCAGGATGACAGAATAGATTGTTGTTTCTGCTTCTCAGCTTCAGGACACTGTTATTTGTTTTGCATTGAATTTTTCAACAAATCAAAACGACTAATTATGACATGTTACATAGTATAAAGCAGCATTACTGTCTGCTGTACTAATATGAGACCAAGTTTAGTTCCGCAGATTAATTTAAGTAGTTTGGTTCATCCAATTTATCTTGGTGTATTAATGATATTTGCTATTCCCCACATTGCTGTTTTGCTGAACAGGAAGTGATGTTCAACATTTCTAGATTATTAAAGCAGAGCATTAAAATGCTGGTTAGTTAGCATAAGAAGTGAAACAACCACCAGAAACTAAAACATGCACTAATAGATTTTATTTTTTAGATTTTTGTTTATTTACACATTCATCAGACACGGAGTAACATAAGCTTTCATTTGGAATTCTTTTTCTTGCCACCTGAGTGCAATATTCACACTCCTCTATGCTTTTTTTGTCTTCACCAATACCTGAGAAAAACAACTAGCTCTTTAGCCACCAGATATTCAACATCATTGACCACTGTGTAACTTCTTCATTTCTGCCATTTCGTGGTGGGCAGATCAGCGTTTTTGCTTTAGATTGGTAAGAACAAAGTTTGTGAGCTTGAAAATCAAAATGTTGGGCTAAAATAGGCTTAAAGCTCTGTTGAACTAAGGGGGACAGCACATGATGATTCTCTTTAAGTCTGTCACTACAGACCTTTCACAGTGATATGATCCAATGTTTATATATGTATATATATATTTTTTTTTAAAAGGAGGAATTTTCATGCTCCCACTTTAAGTTAAAATGTATTATTGGCATATAAATTCCTTGAGCTGAGTTAGAGCAAAGGCCAACTGCCCTTCCACCTCCAACTTACAAATGCGGATAAAAAAGCTCCACACCCTTCCTATTCACACACACACACACACACATACACACACACACAACTCAAAGGTTCGTGGTTGACAAAGCAAGGAGGAGTCGCCACTGCTCGCTGACTGCACCACTGAACCGAAATGTGGTCCAGTGAGGAAATCCAGACATTTTCAAATTTATCGTTGAATAAACTGGCAACGTTGAGAGCTGCTGACAGGCCATTCATCGTGGCTGGTGCTGGCCCAATGGCGTGCGCGAACAAGGCTGCTGCACTTTGATTTCCTGTCCTGGCCACCATGACGGATGAGCTATGAAGAGGGTGGAGGCAACACAGTCACTCACCACCACAAGGCTTCACCTCTCTGCCCACCAGTTCAACTACACTCGTTGCTGCTTTTGGGGCCCCTGCCATGGAGGTGGAGGTGGTAGAGAGCTGGTCATGGAAAGTGATGGGTGCTTTGACTCTATGAGTGGTGAGTTATTGTCAACACTAAAAAATATACTGTAAATTGAGTATTATACTAGATAAATTATAAAGATAAAATGATAAATAAGCAGCGGTGGTCAGAAGTACTTTTCCAACAGCACTGACTGGTCAAAGTCGCAGTTTACAAGGAGGCTTTTAGTAGGATTTGAAGATTACAAGTACGGATTAAAAATACAACATGTGTCATTCTTAAAATTCAGCTCAGCGCTGGAAAGAGGAATGAGCAACATACAGAGCATGTCAAAGCTCAAATCATTTAACTGTCACACCAAAACCAGTATAATCTTTTTACTCTAGGAATATGAAGGGTACCTCACACGAGACTGATTGAATGATTTTGTACAATAACACGCTAATGAGATCATTTTCAGATGAAAACGAGTCGATAATAAATGGCTGAGGGGAAGGGGAAGGGGAGGGTTGCTGTAACTCTTCAGATAATATGCATAGGCTTGAGAGCGTTTCATGGGCAGTAATACGAGGCCGGTGACGGCAGCATTTTGGGAGAAAACACTGCAAATTAGAGGCTAAGGGAGCATATTTCAGCTCCCTCATTTCACACAGTTCATTTTTCACATCAGTGTCTACTTTTGTTCCTGGCAAGCTGCCAAAGACATTGATGTAGGCACTATCCCTCCTCCACAGTGGTAATTATACTGCTGGCCAATGCTTGATTAAAAGATCTAATCTGCAAACTTAGTGTTCAACATCTCCCAACTAGTTCCAATGCTTCAAGTCTGTTCTCTCTGTCTTTGACAGCACTGGAATCCAAAATGTTTTGTCATGGACAGCAGCCAATGAAGTGCAGGGAAACATCCTTTTGCTTTCTATTCTGTGTCAGAGCGAAGGTGTAATTGCACCAGCAGATGTATTATTCAAGATGAAAGCATGGCAAGGATGGATATAGCCTTAACCAAAGTGAAACAATACAGCTCTGAAGGAAGAAGTCTGGCCTTTTTCTGTCTGCACCAGGAGCTAAAACCATAAAATGGGGTACTAAATCATCATCCCACAAGGTAGCAAAGAGCCTGCATCTGAATAAAGAAGCGTGGGGTTATTTTGGCAACAGGGTTCTAGTTATTCAAAATACTATTCAATATTCACAGTCCAAACTTCCTGTAAAAATGTTATTCTGAAAATAGGGTCACCACAATCTATTACAAAATAAAACGTATAACAGGTCCAATATACTGGCAGTTCAGTATCATACAACCAGAATTATTATTATAGAGATACCAAATTAGATTACAAAACACCATTAGGTGCAACAAGGTCAAAAAACGGACTAGTTAAAAGCAAAGACACGTTATACATTGCATTTTATTGGACAAAGGGATGTGTGCAGCTGCATCCCAATAAGAGACCATCCTAAGACCCTCAGAGACAATTGTGCTGCTGACAAAGTACCAAATAGCTGGAAGTGCCCTTACCCTCTCTGAACAGATGGGAGTAGATGAGCCACAGGAGCAGCAGGCAGCAGAGTGACGCACCTCCACCTGCGGAGAGCGTCTTCACTCCAGATTGCATCCTATACCTTCAGCCTTTTAGATTATCCAAACTTTGAACGCCCGTGCCGCTCAGATGTCAAGCAGATCAGCTGAAGAGTGGCTAATCCAGTGGCGTCTCCACAGCCTGTCGTCGGCATCCATTTTGAGGTTATAATGGGAGAGGGACTGATAGTAATCCCCCTTGCTTTTCAAATTCCCTCAGTGAGCCGCATATCCATCCAGGCTGCTCAGCACACACACGCGCACACACACACGCACACACACACACACACACACAATGTCACCAGATCTGGCCAAGTTTACGCAGCTGTGGTATCAGAAGCTGAAATTCACTGGCTGGCTCCTGCAAAAACTGGAAGTAGCAGGTGAAGAGGAGTGAGAAGCGGAAGCCCTCCGCAGTTTTGATCCTCACACGGAGATGCTGATGATGCTGGTAGTAAATTCAGCCGCTCAATATCCCCTGAAAGCCGCTGTCACCTGTTCCGCGCTCCGCACTGTGTGGGTTATTATTCCCAACCAACTTCTGCACCGAGCCCGGCTCTTTGTGACTCTACAGAGAAACGCGCAAGTTCACCCAGGCGGACATGACGAACATACCAATCAGGACGTAAACTTAACGCTACACTCCTGCGTCCATATGTGAACATATACACAACAGCGCACGCAAAATGTCACGTCAAAACAACAGCGGCGGGTCCATGCGGCGCACTGCTGCTGGACAAAACACTGAGCGCGTCAATGCAGGCAGTGAAGTTGGCCACACTTGTCACCTGTGTGAGCCTTTGTGGGAGGCTCTAGGAAATTGTCAGTGATGTTGCCTTGCACCACGGGCTCGAAGAAAAGCTCCCCTCCTCGCCAAGTCAAGTGTTGGTTACAGATGAGTGTGTTAACTCAGGCTTATTCTGTCCCGCTCGGCTCCATTTGCATGCAGGCGACGCCGAAGAAGAGAATCCCCGCTTCAGTCCATGGAGGAAAACGCTGCTGCTGCTGCTACTGCACCCAGTGTTGCCTCGAGTAACAATGTTTCCATCTGCTCTCTCTCTCTTTTGCTCGCTCCCACACAGTGCCCTAATTCCTTCTGCAAAGTGAGAAAAAACTTTGAGCTCCCAGGCTATTCCCAAACTGTAGCTAGATGATGGTGATGATACTTATTCATACACAATAAGAGGTCCCTCAGCCCAAGGGGAGGCAGAAAGCGGCACCAGCTTCCCCCACATTTCGATATGTTACTTGTCTCCATGACCTTATGACCTCTTTCACAGATGGAAATGCCCTGCACGGCTACATGGTCTGAGGACTACAGTTAACATTTTGCACACTAGCATTTAGGGAAAATGTGCAAGGTTTTTTCCTTCAGAGGGCTGCCGGTGTAGTGTGTGCAGTGCCCCATAGCTCTTTAAAGCGTAAGTTACATTATTATATACTGGGTAATATCACATCAAGTCTCAAGTGTGCACAGATAGGGGCAAATGCTTCCCTGTGTGTGAGCTAAAGCCCTGCAGATGTCTACCTTCTAAAAGAGCACCATTTAAGACTCCCTTGCCACTGAAAACCATTACTATAACTCACCCCCTCACACACACATTCACCAGATTCAATGATCAGTAAAAGTGCACTTTATTAGCAGATGGAGAAGTCCCCCCAGTGTCCCGCTGTGCTTTCAGCCTGTCACTGGCTTTTATGATGACTACTGGCCTGGGCAAAGGCCTGTCATATCGTCACTGTAATAAATGAAAAATGGCTATGAAGACTATGCATTTGTTGAGTATTAAATGGATACTTTGCCAGTTTCCCAACTTTATACCACAGCAGGTCGTCTTATCTTTTCTGCATAACTGTAACCAGCTGCTGCAGGTTACTTTATTTGGCTGATGGTGGAAGAGTTGCAGGGACAGTCTGGCTGCCGAGATGAGGTTTGTTTTCTTCTCTTGTCTACAGCTTGGCTCAGCTATCAGAGTTAAGAACCACGTTTCAGTCTGTCAGAGTGACGTCCCAGCAGGGGTTACAGTGTAATTAATCATAATAAATCACTGTGACTGACAGGGTTGTAACCATTCTGCCAGTTCATTTTTACCCATCATATTTATTTTCATGTTTGCCAATAGCATAGACTTATTTGACTTGCATTTGGGCATGTATGGATTGTAATAATATTAATGTCAGTGACACAATACTGTGTGCACTTTAAAAGGGCTGTGCATAACAAAATTCAACAGCACGATTCATCATGCTGGATGATTGTACACACCATTATCCTTTACTAAAAATGGTAACTGACTTGGCTGCTGTCTTCAATCAGAACAAAGATATCAGTTTGTGTGTCACTGTGTGTCTATATGAAATGCCAGTGGTGTAAAATAACTCAGGTACTATAGTTACAAGTTTGAGGTAGCCTACTTGAGTATTTCCATTATATGTTACTTCTACTCCATTTTTCAGACAGGTCGATTTTTACATACAAAACAGCTATTCAGCAGTAACAGACATCCAAGAATAGAAAATGTAACTTTAACAGGATCTTTCTGCAGAGTATTTTAATTTTTTGATACTTCAACTACTTTTAGCTGCGTATACTGTTGTACTTCTGTACTACTGTTGTACATGCCATTACGAAACAATATGTGCCAGTGGAACACGAGCTGCATTTCACTGAAGGCATCGGCATACTGTATTTCCATTGACTTTGTTTGAAATTATGCCTCTAAAATTTAGCTTATGTTCACTCTTAACACACAGTAAGATTCAGCAACAGTAATTATGAGGAAAACCTTTAGATGAAACTCAGCAAAATTGTATATTAATTGTGAATGGACTAAAAATCAGGATACCGACTAAAATAAATGTCAAGGCTGTCATCTTTTGCAGTACTCATAGTGTAGCCCCTGCATACAGATAAAGAGCCTCCAACTGTGTCTCAGTCTCAAAATGTTCAAAGTTTGCAAAGCAGGTGAGCCAGGACCTAGGCAGTCATATACAGGCTTGACCTGCAAATCAGATCTGCCTTCTGAAACAACTCTCCATGTTCCACACAGATGTCTGCATTGGTTTTACAAGCATAACTCCCTTCTCACTCCTTCCATCCATGCAATGTGAGCGACATGCCAGTCAGACAGGATATGGACTGGACCCCTTTTTCTGCTCTGTTGGAAAGAGAGTCATGTTGACACGCTGCTGCAGAACGGCAAAGCAGCGTCTGTCCTTTTGAGGCGCAGCGGACCTTGAAAGAACAACACAAACAAATTTGAGTACAGCAAGGTCCCTCACGTAATTACTGAAGATGCGATGTGCACCTCATATGATTCAGACTGAAGGGTTTTCCTTTGTAGATTGTTTGCATGGATCATCTCTGACTGACTTCAAGAAAACATCAATCTAAATCAAAATATTTGATTGACATACCCATTCAGTGTGATTAATGGGTGATCTCTGGGAGCATAAACAAGAGAGGAAAGAACAGTTGAAGATATCAAAATCACAAGAATTAGGACTTGAATAGGGGTGTCGCGATAACCGCAAAATTTAAATACCGCGCTATTGGTCAAGCCTACCGCGGAGGATGGCAATCACCGCAACAACCGCAATGTTCATACTGTGCACTTCAGGGCGTGTTAAATTAATAAATGAGTGCTTCAAAAGTTCCACAACCGTAACAAGCTCTGTAACGGTTCAAGGATGGATCGCCCGGGGCTGTACGTGACCCGACTTCGAACTCTGAAGCTGTAAGTGTTGCCGTGTTTTGTTTGTTTTACTTTTAAAGGTTAGCTAACTTGGCGTTAGCATATTGTGCGGCTAATGTGGCTAGCAGGCACTGTGATGATGGACTAAAGTTGTGATCCTGAGGGACAGTCCAGAGAAACTGAACGGTAAGCCTCATTTGACGCTCACTAACTAACGAGCGTAGAGTGTCGGATGCCTGCAGCTGTTTTTCATGTTGCTTTCGGTTGAAATTTAGTTATGTTACCACAGCGCAGTGGTCAGTTGCGGACAGCCATTCATCTCCGCACCGTGGCGCGCGTGTGTTGCTGTGTATGTAAATTGACTTGATATACGCGCCCTGAAGGTAATGATATAGCTACGTGTGAAAAAGACACGGTCAAACTACAAAAAGGAGTTTGCTTGGCAATATTGTTGACTAGCACCCAGCAGCTAGCTTGCTCCGACCATAAAGCTGCTGTTAGCGGCTTGCTGTGCAGTGAGGTGACAGACACTGTTACTATGCTACGTATATGGCACCAAATTACTTCATTGATGAAAGATGCGATAATACCGCATACCGCGCTGTTGAGTCCTAACATTGCCGCGGTGGAAATTACTTCACTGTGACAGCCCTAGACTTGAACATGCACAATTAACTCCACAGATTCCATTTCAACTCAACATAACCCATGTTATTACCAGGGTAGGTGATCTAAGGGGAGGGCGCCATCCCTCTTGTTAGCAAAATGACCAGAATGAATCCCCCTTATTAACCTACCAACCTCCTCTCCAACCTATTAGCAGAGAGAGTGCAGGGGCAGAGGGGTTGCTTAGTTAAATACAGTATATCTTGCCCATCTGTCAGTTTTGTGTTGGATTTATAATACTCTCTAAACTACTCTAAATGCTCAATTCTATTATATATCTTCTACTATATTGTAGCCTGTACACTATAGAGTAGTGTCACCTTCATGACCACAGTGACAAGCAGCAATGTGTAGTCGTGGGGTGTTCCCACTGGGCCATCCACCCTATTAAAATAAACAAATCACCAGCTGGTTATTACACACACACCAATCTAAAGGGCTCATTCAGAGGCCATAAATGGTTGGATTTGTTAACTAGTAGTATTGACCTACCAACATCATATGAGAAAGACAAGTCAATAGAAGGGAAGTGATGTCCAACACCACACCATATTCACTATTAAGGATTTACTGACCTGTTTGCACGTGGAATGGAGCCTGTGAGAATGTTTCAATCACGAAGTGTGTCTTGTCTGTCCACTCTCAGCTGTTTTGGATCAAAACACTAACTTGGGAAATTCGATATGGTGCCATGGCCCGAGAAATTAAGCCTGTTTTCTGCCCTGTCAAATTCTGAACTGCCACTGATGGTCCAATAAAAAAAACAAAGACCAACTCTGTAGAGAAGGAAAGATACAGAGTCCATTATTGTTGCATCTTGTTGTTCTGCAGAAGCTGTGGCTTTGGAGTGTTTGTTTTTGATTAGGAATGTTTAATGGCCTCTACACATTCAATTATCAGCAGCCTGCTCCGCCAGTCGATAGTCATCCTCACATTAATGGCCCAGAACTGATTACCAAGGACAGAGAGAGAAATAGCTGAAATGTTATTCATTCAAAGCGCTAATTAAATCCTCCTAGGTGGGACTTTGAATCCCACTAGAAACTTTGCCAACATTTTACTAAGTACCACTTATAGTGGTAGTATGATAGTTTGCCTAAAATAACAGTGATTGTGAAAAAACATGCCTCTGGATTTCTCTGTGGGCTCACCGTGGCAATACTTCTTTGTGCTACAGCTAATAATAGAGCTGCAAAGTCATGTTATGGCCTCAGATTTCTTTATTTTATCCAGCTGTAAAAATCTAATCCAACCCAGATATATTCCCTCACAGCATGGAGTAATAAATAGCAGAAATGTATTTTCTACATGTTGTTTTGTAGTCAAGGGTGTAGTAGTCAAGTTCCTTCCTCTTTCTCTTCATATCAAGTGAAATTGATCCCAACCTTAATTTACCTTGCTACCACGACACACTAGCAGCATCAACTATGGCAAGCAATAAAATATTTTCTTCATCTTCCGTTCTCCTTGGACATTCTCCTAATTTTTCTGTGCTTATTCATTTTATCTCCGAAACTCCTCTGTCCCTTGAATCATGTGAAGAGGTATCTTTGCATGTTTTGTTAATTGGGCATAAATCATTCTATGTCCATAATCTGTGCTTACAGTTTGGTCAACGTTCTGCAACGGGCTTTGAGGTATGTTTGCTCCCGTTTGGTTCGTGTCTCAGGTGTTACCCAATCAGCTGCGACAAGTTTGTAAACACAACAGTGTTAAAAAGGCAGGAAAATTCAGTGCGCTTACGTACACAGTAGGGTGTTCAGGAAACCACAGCTGAACTCCTAACTCCTACTCTGCCTATTCCTCACCTGCAACTAATTACCCCATCAGCCACTCATCATATATACAAGGGCTGAGTTCAGCGCAGACAAAACATAGCAAAACGTTTTTTTTAACGGAAACGGTGGTTCACCACAACAATGCAAGGAAACATGTTGTTCAATTTGAAAATGTTGCAAACCGGTGCTAAACGTTTTGAGATTGAACTCGCCCCAGTTCACTTCTCATGTTGGTTGTCAAGTTCAGCTTGTTTGTCGTCTGCCTGTTTACCCTGGTCCTTGATGCTTAATAGATTTTTGCATTACCATTATTTGGGCTGCGGTCGAAAAGTCTTTTTTGCTTAGGAAGGTTCCTAACTGAGTGAAGTGAGCCGGAAGTATTTAAGTGGCAGCCATGATAAGAGCTGTTTGAATTCTCTAAAAGCTAAGGAAAGGTGCTTTAATGCTTCCTTTCTTATCTCCATTAGCATTTAAAGCTATGCAAAATTCTCAAACTCAAACACTAAAAAACGACAAGGACCGATAAAGGACGTCGATCCCCATGGTAGTTACCATCGGCTATGAAGCTTTTTCTCACTTACGCCATAACTTAATAGTAATATGCATATGTTTTGATATGTCAACAATAATTGAAACCCATATGTGAGCTATTAATGTTACTCTTGTAAAATGATCAAGTGAGGATAATGTTGCAGCGTGTCGGCTAACGTTATACAGTATGCTCGTAACTGTGATGGCAATTAAAGGAGATTCTGACCTACAGGTAGGTGGTGAAGGATATTGGGCTTTAGGGCAAGGTGACTGCCATTCAGGTGTCCAAGAAGTGGGATAACTTAAAAACAAAGTACAAGGTGAAGCCAATCATGTGGCTGGGCACTGTGGTGGACTTGTGTTTGTGGAGATTATGTTGTACAATTAAACAGGCTAACATAACATTTTATATGGAAATGTCAAATGTGTAGATAGCTACTTTATATGCACGATGGCTAGTAACAGTTAAGATTATTCCATAATTGGCCACTGAGCATTCTGCCACAATTGCCCTTTCAATAACATATTGTTCTTCATGGTGTAAATAGGAGTTGAAGAATCCCCCCACAGGCACAGACGGAGTTGAGGCAACTGCAGCTACCTGACCATGGTTTGATGCCATGCATGAGGCACTTGGAGAAAGGCCATCTATTCAGCCACCACCCTTGTTGCCTCATGCTCGGGGGCAGACTGTGGCCAGACTGTTGCAGAAGCCTCGTCCTCCCCGCCTGGTCAGGTCTCCTGAATTATATCTGAGAGTGAGGAGGCCCTACCGTCTACAAGCTCCCAACCACCTACTAAAAGGCAAAAGAGGGATGAGGGAACATTTGCCTTTTGAAAGAAAAAGGCTGAGAAGAAGGAGGCAGGAGATGCTGCTCCCTACGAGCAAAATGAGCAATTTCTTGCACTTTTTTCTGAACTAGTAAAACAATAAATAAAGGACAACGTATATGGTGTTGTGCTCATTTAATGAATTATCAGTCCTTTCTCTTTGAAATTGTGGTAAAAATAGTAAATTTATGCAAATAATGCAGAAATTCCATTACTTTCCACGTCATTTTTAATGTGGTAATAACAGAACAGTAAGTTGCAATTGTGCGAACTCCTTGAATGTGTGTTACTTTGTGAAAATGCCAAATCCTAGAGGGACTGAAATCCAAGGCTTTTCAGTTGCTGATTGGAATAGTTTTCAACAACACATTCCTTCAATACACA